CTGGCGGTCAGTTTCAGCAGCGGCTGAATCTGGACGCCAGTTCCGACTTACATACAGATTCAACTTAAGAGCAAACCTACAGTCCAGGGGACTGGACTTGGTAACCTCTTGATGTCCCTTCCAGTCCTAGTATTCTATGATTCTATGATTATCTTTTTGATTGTGGCAAATTCCATATTGTTTTCACATCCTACAATTTTTCTCCTTCAAATTCTTTACTTGCCTTACAGTCATTCCATGTTATACCTGCCATCTTTTAAAAACTCCCATCTCTACCTCCTCCAGCTTTTGATATCTTTTTTATTTAATGCAGCTTCTTCCAGACCAAACAGTCAGCCGTTATTAGCAGGGCTCGCTAAACCGCAGCGATCCTCGCTCACCAGCCGTGCTGTCCGGTGATCTGCGCATGCGCAGATCACCCAAACCCAGCTCTTCCGTGTTGCAATCTACTCACCCCGGGCGAGTAGATTGCATTATTTGTCGAGCCCTGGTTATTAGAACATTGGTTTGGTACATTTTTACTTTGGTAACAAATACTGAGAAACTTAACTCTAAAAAAAACCACCTTATAGTATGCAGATGACATCGTTCAACTGGGAGATATACCTGAATTAATGATGATACAACTTGCTATCATGGAAGACTTAGAATAAATGGCAAGATTGAAGATGAAGTAGTTGCATCTTGGGAAAGGGAAAATAGACAAAGTGTTAAAATGAAGTAGTAGTGAAGTCATAGAATAAGTAGAATGTATACCTCAGAATCTTAATTAGTGGTGACAATTCTATCAAAAAGGTTAAAAGGAGCTTTACCTAAGCTACATGTGTTGCACAGAAACTGACAAAATTATGGATTGATGAAAACATTTAAGAACAGGATTATGAAATGAACTCAATTTCTAATGAGAAGTCAGCCTAACACTGAGTTTTTCTCAAGTGGAGTTTGTCCACTTGTTAAACGATATTCTTTTATTTCATAATTTCCATTGATATTACAAGAGAAAAGTGTTCTGTTATTAAAATAAAATTGTATCTTATGCCCGTGAAGTTAGAACTAAATGTTTTTACAGGAGACTTTTCCCCCCACATCTAACAGTCATGTACACATGTACAGAACTACTAAGGTAAGATTCAAGATTAAATAACTCAGATAATGGGACTTGTGTTCCCTAGCAACCTGTAACTAATCTTGCTGGGTCTACTAATGACTAAATCTTTTAACAACAATATAATGTAGTACCCCACCCTATCAAACATTTAAAGGCCTTGATCCTGAAAACACCTACACACATGAGGAGTCCCAGCAGCCTGGTTAAATTTCAACTTAATTAAATGTATTCTGCCTACCCATATTATACTGGTAAAGTCTAGATTGCATTTTCTTACCCACTGAACTCACACATAATCAGGGTCCTATGGAAACAGCAACTAGAGCCAGTACAGAGGCACAGGATCTTATAAGTAGTAACCAATTAAGGATGTTAAGTACCATGTATTTCACTAACTGAATAGTCGATGCATTTTGGCATCAGCTATTGGATTAGTTTATAGGGCAGCACTACTCCTTTGAAACACCACCATGGCATTTCAAAGGGGCAGCACCACATGGAGCCCAGGATCAGCTGGGGACTCCCCAGCTGGCCCCAGGCTCCGGCAGCACTGCCACTTTGAAATGTCACAGCAGCATTTCAAAGGGGCACCACCGCACAGCTGATCCCAGGCTTAGTGCTGCACGGAGCCTCGGGTCAGCTAGGAACTCCAGCTGACCCTGGGTTCCATGCGGCACTGCCCCTTTGAAATGCCGTGGTGGCGTTTCAAA